GAAAGAAAGACTTTTTAGCACTTTACATAGGAAATTGCTTTCACATTAATTCTTAAAGCTATAAATAATGTTGAAGCAATGTCAGTCCTGTGACATTTGGTTTTAAGTAGATTTGAAACAGACACAATGTGCGCCTAACTGAATTTGGAAGCATCTTTGTAAATCATTTTACTTTCTCCTGTGTTCAGAAAAAAATTAGTAATGTTTACAGGACTCTTAGATGTTTATAGCTCATACCTAACTATGCTTTATTTGGCAAACCGTAGCAGCTTTGGGAATCAAGAAGGATCCTCAGATCTCTGATTTGCAATGAGTAATTTATCCTGCTTTTGTCATTTTTTTCTCACAACATTTCATTGTTGCTGTTCAGTCCAAATTACTGATAAAAAGCTCTTCATTTGTTACCTGGTACTTATTTACAATCAGTTGCTCTGATTGGATTTTCAACTTTCAGAAAGTCATGTCTCATTAGGTTCATCATTTTGAAATCTAAATTTGCTATATATAAATACTTCTACTTAACAAGGCAAGCCTCTCATTGCTTTAATTACTTTCATTTGTTGGGCAACTTCATTGCAAATAATCTGTTGTAGGGGGGAATACAGTCCCAAAAGTTAGTTATTATAGTGTTGTAGATGATTATTCTGTTTCTTCTGCAATCTGTGGTATCATTCAAGTAATGCCATGTAGGTCCAAACTAGATACTCTATTTTAAATATACTATTTAAGATCTAGCACAACTTTTCTCAACATGTTTAACTGGAGCAAAACATGAAATAATGTTTAGGTCTCAGGGAACCCCTGTATAAAAATGTTGTATATACAGCTTGCAGTACAATGATGTGAAAAATGCTGCCATTATTATTATTATTATTATTATTATTATTATTATTATTATTATTATTAGATATACATCTTGTTGATGAATAACTAATAATAATAATAACAACAATAATAACAACAGCAACAACACATTTTATTTCTTATACGCCTCTCCTAATAACTCAATGCAGGATACAACAAAGTCAAAACATGAATATAAAGCACATACAATAAAATACATAGATCAAAACACATAAATTACTTTTATGTTAAGTTGGCAATTTCTGTTATGTAAAAGTAAAACTCGGTTTTTGTTATAATGGTGTTTGCTTGGGGTAGCTGAGTCAACACAGTTCTTTTACAATAAAAAGTCTGGAAAAAACAGGTGTTCTGGTAGTAAAAAGCCAATAGAAGAGTAAACCACTGGGACCCACTTATTTTCATTCAGTGTGAAACTAAAATAATATACTTGAAATGATACTAAAAAGACAACAATGTAAATTTTAAAAAATCAGCTTCTTGAAAAAGAATTCTTAAAGCAATGGTTCTCAACCAGTGGGTCCCCAGATGTTTTGTCCTTCAACTCCCAGAAATCCTAACAGCTGGGATTTCTGGGAGTTGTAGGCCAAAACACCTGGGGACCCACAGGTTGAGAAACACTGCCTTAAAGTATCATGGCATGACCTCCCAAAGTCCGACCTTTGCCCTTATAGTCAGACACCTCTATTGGGCTTTTTCCTCAAGCCTGAAAAAGATGTATTGTTTTAAATGCAATTACATAAAACTGTCTGTATTAACCAAGCCAGGAACATGAAAGTAAAAGAAAATGAGCATAAAGGGAATTTTTCTCATTTTAGTAAATGGGCAATCGATTTGTAAATCTTAATTTTCTGAGGAGCTGCTGATATTGTTTTGTAAACAGTCAAGGGTATAATTGCTTATGAACTCATTTGTTGCTCAGTGCTCTATTTCTGTGTCTTCTTTTCTGTGTCTCCATCAAAAACAGCTAGACATTGGGTGAAAAATTAATATAGTTTGCCATCATTTTAACTGCCATGTATCAATGTCATGGTATCATAGAAACTGCAATTTTACAAAGTCTTTAGCCTCTTCTGCCAAAGTGTACTGATACCTCATCAAACTGTAAATCCCAGGATTCCTTAGCATTGAGCCATGGCAGGGAAAGTGGAGGCAGGGTGCATTAATTCTGAAGTATAGAGGCAGGAAAAGGAAAATCCTTTCAGCTGATTATGTGGTTCTATTTTATTTATCGTATCAGAAGCGAACCAAGGGTACAGTTGTGATCAAAACATACAGAGTTTTAAAACTTGTCATTCTATTAAATGTCCTTTGACCAATAGCTGGACAGTTGGAGTGCCTCTGGTGTTGCTATAAGGAGGTCCTCCATTGTGCATGTGGCAGGGCTTAGACTGCATTGTAATAGACGGTCTGTGGTTTGCTCTTCTCCACACTCATGTCCCGTACTCCACTTTGTGGCCCCATTTCTTAAGGTTGGCTCTGCATTTTGTGGTGCCAGAGGCACAGTCTGTTCAGCGCCTTCCAAATCACAGTCTTCTGTGTACCCGGGGCGGGGGGGGGGGGAGTCTCACGTTAGATATCAGCCATGGCTTGAAGTTCCAGGCGTTAAGTGGTTCTAGTAGAGTTCAATAATTCTACATGCACAGAGGAAATGGTATCGTCGCTGCATCTCTATGGACTTTGCTCCCTATTGTGTTTAAGAGTGTTTATGTGTGTGTGTGTCAGAGAAAAGGAGGAAGACTGAGAGATATGCATGTGCATTTTGTATAACAGATGTAATTTTTATTTGATATTTAAACAAACATTATACTATTATTATAATGTTATGCTATAGAGTGGAGTAACATTTCACCAGAATTCACCAACATCACCTTCCAAGCCAATTTCCAATTTTAGTTTAGAATTAATATAAAAGTTTTGACAAGTAAGGCAACCCAAGTAAGAAGTAAGTAAGACTGTTAATTATTTCAAGCAACAATGACTTGTGTGACTATGTGAAAAGTGTCAACTTTGTAAATCAGAAAACTTTTGGTTAAGTATTAAATTTTGACCATATTTCAGGAAAGAGTTGTAAACAATGAGCATTATAGTAATGAATAACCTTTCACTCAAGAACTTTCGATTTTTCCTCTCCCTCTCTGTCATACAAGAAACATTTCTCATAATATAGCTAGTTTTGCTTAGCATTTTAAAGAAAATAATTGAGGGGGAGGGATTAACATGTAGGCAAGAAGTTTCAGATAACATAATTTTAATTCCTCAGCTTTCACCAGCTTTGTAATAGAGCTTTTACCTGCAATCCATGGCACAGAGGTTTCAAAGTATATTATAAAGCTTTCATTGTTTTATCGTAAAACCAGACCCTAACTCCCTTCATAATCAAAACATTTTTATAGCTCCCATCATTACATTTTCTTTCTTGATGAAGCTTTAATTTGGGGGTTCATTTTATATCTTAACTATTTCATTTTAACAAGATGACAGCTTATGTCATTGTTATTAATATTATTGGTTAAATACACGTTTTTCTCATAAAGCTTTGGAATAGGTACCTGCTTTAATAAATAAGATTAGTTGATCACTGTTAACATGTACATTGTGTGAAAAGTTAAAATGTAATGTTTGGGTATTAAATGTAAACATTTCTCATTACCCATGTGCTCTAGAAAATATGTGATCTAGAAAAATTGTCTTGAATCAAAAATTTCTGTACTGATCTGTCCTTGGTTGGAAGAACTTCAATGAATGAATGAACAGAAAAAGACTTCAGTTTGATTCAGACATTGCATGTATAGCTCATCATACAAGTGTTGGGAGCAACTCATGCTTGCAAAATTGAACATTTAATTCAACCTCTCTTTGGGCCTAAATACCCTAAATGCACCAAATCCATCTGATCTTGGAAGCTAAAGAAGGTTACCTCTAGTTAGTACTTGAATGGGAGGCTACCAATGAAAAAGCTACTCCTTTTTAAATTGTGGGTCCTGATGTCAAATGATGTCAAATGGGGTCACCATAACTGAAAATGGGGCCATGAAAATTGGTCGACAGTAAAGCAGCCCAACCGGAAAAAAAATCTTGTATGTTTTTGTGTGGTTGGCTGAATTTTGGCCAATTGATTTCAAACTAAACAATAAAGATTGTGCAATGCTGAAAAAAATAAATTTTGGAAATGTAATAGCTTTGCTAATAATAAGAATGCCTATTCGATTTATAAGAATCCTTAATCTATGTTATAACAGGGTTAACTTGTTACATGTAGAGTTCCCAAATCAACGATTTCCAGTAGGTTGTTAATTGACAAATTGAAATAAGTGGAAATGCACAGGACTTCATTTTGATAGAGCATAACCAGCAACATTTCAGGTAGTAATCTTGTGTTTATGTATTTAGTATGAGTCCCTTTAAAATGTAGATGCTCTATTTTCGGATGCCATTGAAATATTGTATTAATTTTTGTGCATTAATATAAATATGGAGCCAATGGAATGTTCCAGTCCATGAAATACTAATAGGGAAAAAGGCTAACCTGCTCAACGATTTGCACCAAGGGAGGAATAAAAATGACATTATCCACTATGCAGCTGCTTTGCAAAACAAGTTAGGCAAATCTGGAAAATGAATTTCCTGTCTTCTCTTGCAAACTTTGATCTCTTCGAGTTGTAGCTTGTGCTCTCTGAAATTGTTTTTAAAAAATGTAGATCCAACAAAGAATTTAACAAAGCCGATCGAGTTCTTTACCAGAATAAATCTTATTATGTTTTCATACTTTAGAATTCTAGATCCTAAAAACCTTCCATTGTTTCTAAGGCAGTACACAACCAGATTTGTTTGGATTTTATATACAGCCTTTAGGAGAAATGGCAAAGTTTGGACATTTGGCAATAGATGAAGAAAGGAGAAATTATGTGCTTTATATATGTGAAGAATTTTGAGGAGGAGATAAACCCCATATAGTAGGAAACAAAGTTACAAGGATACCTTCTTAGTACTTAATGTGGTTCCATTGACTTGTACCTGTCACTGTTTATATTCTCTGATAAAACTATTTGCAATATAACTTTCAGGTACTTTTATGGCATCACCACAAGTGCGTTTTGTTTTTCACTATTGTTTTTCTTTCTCTTTCACTGTTGCAGTTAAACCCAGAAGAGACTCGTTACTTAGTCCAGATATTACTGATATTGCTCCAAATAGAAAGAGAAGACAACGTGTACGAAATACTGCAAGTACAGAACCAAAGGTGGCATTGTATGAGGCCCAGAATTCACCCAAGGAAAAGTAAGGATTGGCATAAATTGACAAATATACAACATAGTTGTATTATAATTGTTTAAACAAGTTTCTTAGGTTAAATTGAAAATCTAAAACATTTTTATTAATACTTTGTTTTTTTCAGATTATTGCTGTTTATACTTGATATTTTGTAGCTACCAATACTTATCGACCTAACTAAAACACAGAATTGAAGACAAAACATTTTTTGCAAATAGGATTCAGTTTAGAATATCTGTGCCTGGTGAATACGTTGAACAATAATATTGGGTATACACTACATTACTAATGTAAAAGTGCCTGGGCTAAGTAGAAACTAATCACATTGCAATGGGTCTGATGTGATTATTTTACCATCTTCATGATACAAGCAGTCAGGGACTTGGGTTGAAATCTAGTTTATAGTTAAGCAAAGTAGTTATAACTGATGTGACTATGATTTAAGCAGTCTGCATAAACCTGCTGCCTTTGGATTATGTCTTCGAAGGTAGTCATTTAAATATTCTTATTGCCTTTTAAAATCACTTCCAAATTTATTTATTTATTTTTTTTATTTCATGAATATTTTGCAATATGGAACTCTTCTGAAGGTAGCTGGTACACATATAAAAAACCAGTCTTTCAGAATATGTTTAAAATATGCTCAAAATGATGAACAATTTTAATTTCCAACTCTGAACAAATAATAGAGTGCACGTGAAGATACAGGAACAAATAAATTACACAAAGACATGTCTTAGATTAGACAGGATGTACTGTTGCATATCATGTTAGACTGCTATCTTTTAATAAAGACCACTATACCGTTGTGTTTCAGAAGATCCTTTATGAGAATAGAGCTCTTTGCACCTGTATATAAACAGCCATTTTTTTTGTCTTCTATTTATGATACTTCAGATTTGAGTAGTGATTCTTTCAGTATTGAACTCAAAATTATATAGCAATAGGATGGTTGCATTGTCTTGAGTTTGGCGCAGAAGCTGTAAAAAAATATAAAGTGATATCTGGTCAGAGGTACATAAAAGAATAGTCAGACACTGAAGTCCGGGAAATGGGATAAAAGTGTCTTGAGAGAATGCTTTGGGAGCAGTGAAGCTTTTTGAAACAGTAGAACTGGCATTTGTTATTTTATATAATTTTCTCAATAAAAACAGGAGGAGCTTTAGAAAGGGAAATAGATAAACTTTGTATTCTACTGAAAAGGGGAAGCCCCTTTCAGAGCTACAAAGTGTACATGATTAGTTTATATTAGCTACAGAAAAGAAGCTTCAGTCTGTTTTGCAAGGTCATGACTCATACTGCATCTGGATTTGAAAACCAGTGTGGTCCATTGAATCGTTTGTTAGACTTGGACCTGGGAAATCTTGGTTCAAATCCCAGCTCAGGCATGGGCTCAGTGGGTGGCCCTGGGCAAGCTGCTTTCTGAATGAATTCTTCCATCTGTAAAGCTGTGAACATTATGGCCCAACATTGGTTGTGAGGTTGTGAGGAGGGGTAACTTTAGTGTCAAAGTAGTAATATGAACATGTTGAAAGACCATGATATGGGATTTTACGATAAGATACCTTGGGCTAACAAAGAATAAATTCTAGCCTTTCATGTAATTGTGCATTTATGAACAAGTAAAGAAAGTTGTAGCAAATCTCTCTCCAACATATCAGTCCATTGTTTTTCCCTGCTTCTTCTTCTTAAATTAAGCATAATAATTAAACATTATATTGGCTCTAATAGGCATTTGCTATTCATTTGAAGAAAAGATATCTCCTTTGAGAATTCAGCCGTGTGAAAACGGCATACACTGATGTTGCAATGACAGCTTTTCAAGGAAAATCTGGGGATCTAAAACCTTGTATATAGGTAGTAGTGAAGCAGTGATCCAGGTGTCACTGAACTGCAATTTTCAGTAAGCCTAGTCAGAACAACCAATGGTGAGGAATGCTTGGATGTGCTGTTCAACATAGAATAATAGAATTGGAAGAGACCATACGGGCTATCCAGTCCAATCCCCTGCTATGCAGGAAAAGTACAATCAAAGCACCCTTGACAGATGGGTCATCCAGCCTCTGTTTAAAAGCCTCCATAGAAGGAGCTTCCACCACTCTGCTAGGCAGAGAGTTCCACTGATGGATAGCTCTTACGATGAGGAAGTTCTTGAAGGCTGCTTGAATCCCATCCTTTATGTTAGCAAGAAAAACTAAGAGTTAGCAATCCTGAGGGTTGTGTTTAGCAAAAGAGCACAGAAAGCAAGCTGTGGGGTTCATTATGTTATCACAAAACCATTTGACATAGATCAGTTTCTTTTCCTTGTCCCATCTTTGTTTTAAGACTCTCCACCCCCCCCCCCCCCCCCCACAACAACCCTATGAAATGGTTCAGGCTGAAAAATAGTAAATGATCAAAGGTGCTGTCTGTAGGGATTTGAAATGCTCCTTTCAGTATTAGTCCACCATTTATTAATATACCACACTGGACTTTAGGGGGCTAAAGATACATGTTCAAAAATGAGGATAAACTAGCAGTCTGGCTTTCTGAATATTTAAAAGCCTAGAGGAACATAACTATTATGAAGGCACTACTACCCTATGAAATGGTTCAGGCTGAAAAATTGTAAATGATCAAAGGTGCTGTCTATAGGTTCCCTTCCTAGTGGATATGTGACTGACCACTGCCATGAAACCTCATAGGAATTCTAAGTGCACTGCTATATGTGCCTCTTCCTTTCAGCACTGTATATTATCTCTTTGGGAAATATCTTGCTTAAGTTGCCTAGGATTTTCTTCAAAATGTTGTGAGGACGTAAACAGCTTTTCTTCTGATAACCCCCTGCCTTTTTAAAAGCATTGCAAGTCTGCGGTACATCATGAATTCCCTTGGGATTATGTCTTTTTCTTTTGCCTAATTTATTGCCTGTGGCTCACATTTTTAAACACTGAATTCAACCTTTGTTTAAAATGTGGTTTGCTACCACCAGTGATTCAAGTAGCAAGAGCTTTGGCTTATCTTAAATTTCAGCTTTCTCAGAGGGCCTTGCAGACGTTGGTATTATTGTCTCACATGAAGCAATATTTTACTGGAAAGGTTTAACTCCATGAAATTAGATGCCACTTAAAAAGGCACCAGCCTTTTTCATGGCCCACAGAGAGTATGAAGTTTACATTATAGCCACCCTTTTGAAGAATCTATTATTTTCTTTCAAACTTACATGTTAGCATGAAAGATTTACATGTTGTAATTTAAAGGGTTCTTAAAGAACCTGGATAATGTGCTTCTGTGGCCATTTAATACAGGTAACTATTGTTGGTAACTTTGGCTGAATGTGTAAAACAGTACTGTGAACAAAGCTTTCTCTTACAATTCCTGGTAGGGACTTAGTGTCATATAAAATTCTTGCAGCTAGAGAAACAGGCTTACCAAATACAGCGGAAACATTTATGCAGTGCTGGAACCTCAAGTGGTGGTTTTTTGCCCCCTAAATCCACTAAGTTATTCCGTCATCAACAGTCACACTATAGTTATTCATGTCTGATTGATGCCCGTAACCAGGAGAGCTGTATTTATTTTACACAAAAACTAAATGACCTTGCTTAACTTTAGACATTATTGAGGAAACAGCATATAGAAATTCTTAATTATTACCATTATCATAAAACTGTTGATAGGGAAACTAGTTATTACCAGTCTGCAGATGATGAAATAATAAAGAGAACACATACCACTTATGTTTGATAAAGTGGCATATTTTCCATTTATAGCAGTTCAATAATGGAACCAATTGCCTAAAGAAGTGGTAAAGACATCCTTCTTTGGGTGTCTTTAAAATGAAGTTAGCTAACTACTGGGGATGCTCTAGTTAGAGATCCTGCATTGAGCAGGAGGTTGGATCCAATGTCCCATATAGCCCCTTTCAACTCTTAACATTCTGTTCCTCTGTGGAAATAATTTGGTTGAGCAAACAGTTTGCAGCCAATTGCTGGAAAACCCAAGTATGTTGGAAGAACAGTTGGTTGGAGGAGGAAGTGTCCGCCATATAGAAGAAGAAGCATGTATTAAGACTATGGGAATCCCATAGGATTGAGATAATTGTGAAAGGGGGAAAGAAAGAGCTATGAGCAAGAGGAGGACAGGCTAGAACAGGTATGGGCAATCTTTCTGACTTGAAGCTCACATGGTGAGCCAGTCAAGGTGGGTGGGCCAGGAAGTTCTCCCCAAGTCCCCTCCCTGCCCTTTCCTCCCTTGCTCTTCTTTTTTGAGGCAGAAAGTGAAGGAGAAGCAGGAAACCTTTGGATTCCAAAAGGGTTAGCCATCATCAGGATGAGATGGTGGATGGGGGAGAAAAAGTCTATAAATTAGGCCCCATATTGCCTGCTCCTGATATATAATCCTAGAATTCTAAAGCTGGAAGAGGCCCCCAAGGGCCATCCAGTCCAAACCCTGCCATGCAAGAAAGAAGGCATAATCAAAACACTCCTGGTAGACAGACTTCTTCCTAATCTTTTCAGTCAAATCTCTGTCCCTGCCATTTGAACCCATTGCTCTCTTGTGCCCTGGTCTCTAGAGCAGCAAAAAGTCCATTTTCCCCCTCCTCCTCAATGGGACACCCTTTAAAATCTTGAAACATGGTTCTCATGTTTTCTCTCAACTGTCTCTTCTCCCAGCTAAACATCCCCAGGAGGAAAAGAAGAAGGAAAAAGAGAAGGAGGGGAGGGAGGAAGGGAAGGAGGGAGTGAGGGAGGGAGGGAAGGAGGAGAGCAGAAAGGAAGGAGGGACAACAGGGTGGAAGAGAAGGAGGGAGGGTGAAAGAAAGAAGGTAAGGAAGAAAGGGAAGAGCAGAAGGAGGAATGGGCCTGGGTTTGCCCATACCTGGGCTAGATGTTAGCCAATCAAATGGCTTCTGTCTTAGAGAGTTCACTTCTTCCCCCACTCTTTGCATGCAGACCCAGACCTTATCTAAAAGTTGCAAACTTGAATAATTTAATGACTTGGAATTAACAATTTATTGAAGCCAG